GTGTTGTTTTTTTGTTTTTGGGAGGGGGTGGGAGGGTTGGATTGAACAGCCAGAGGGCCCCAGAGTTCCTTGCATCTAATTTGACCCCCACCCTCCTCCAGGGTAGGGGGAGCAGAAGCCCAGATATTTGGAGGGATGGAAACACCAGCTGCTCCCCCTCATCCCCTTTGCCCTCCTGCCTCTCCCACCGCTTTTGCCTTCCTTCTCCACGGCCCCTAACCCCAGCCCACTTCTGCCTGTTTTAAACGAGTTTCTCAGTTCTTCCAGTCAGACCAGGTCATGCTGCTGTGTCAGGGACAAGGTATGGAAAGAGGGGCCCAAATTTAACTCCAGCCCCCCATCTCCCCAGCACAAACCACAGGCGCCACTCTCTAAGAGCGAATGAATGAAAAGCTACCCTTCCCTTCAGAGCAATCCTGCCAGGGAAGGAGGGATTTTAGTGACATGTTCAGTGGGCCACTTGCTAGAGTTTTTTTAAAAAAACAATATACAATCTTATTTAAGTTCCACCAATGCCTCTCTCCCTCCTTCCTCTCCCACCCCTTCCCATGCCCCTCCTCCCCAAATCCATTTTAACAAGGCTGGGAAGCAGACTGTAAAGGAAGGAGCTGGGGTTCTAACCTCTCCCCCAAGCTGCTAATCTCCCCCACCCCCCCTGCTCCCGGGGGTCCCCCTGCCAAGCCAGGAAGGGTCTCAACCCCTTGAGGAAACTCCTACCCCTTTTTGCCCCTACAGACCTGTATTCACCCTTGGGCTTCGGGACCCAGACAAAGCAGCTGTCCCTCTCCCTGCCAAAGAGTTGTCCGCTTAAAAAATAGAGGGGGAGCCCCAAGTCCAGGGTCTTTCCTCCCAGCATCTCTCCCCCCAAACTCCTTAATTTTATTCTCAGCGAGATTTTAATGTCCAGCCTCCTCTCAGTTGGGAAGGCACCCCCCCCCGCCCCCGCAAATGGAGGCAAAGCCCCTCCTCCCCCTGATGGCCCCGGGTTCAAGGCCAGGGTTGTTGGGGAGGGGCTACTTGTTTTATTCACCCAGCAGCCTCCGCCCCCCACTGCCCCATCCTGGGCGCTCCTCTTCTGCTTAGCTGTCAGCTATCAATCATCCCTTCTCCCTCCCTCCCCATTTGTGGTTTTTTCTCTCAATAGAAAAGTCGGGAGCCACCCCATTCACCCCCACATTTGTCCCTCTTATATTTTCTCCCCATCCCAGGAGGAGCTCTCAGGCCTGGGGTGGGGCCCTGGGTGGGCGCGGGGGCGATTCAACCTGTGTGCTGCGAAGGACGCAACTTCCTCTTGAACAGTGTGCTGTTGTAAACATATTTGAAAACTATTATCAATAAAGTTTTGTTTAAAAAAAAGTGTCACTGGTGTTCTCGACTTCGGTCACCCACCCACACAGCCCCAGGGGGAGTGAAAGGGAATTTCGGACCCCAGCGTCCAGGCCGATCAGCACCTGGCCTTGAGTCCTGG